TCACCTTCAACATCTCGGCCATCCTATTCAAAATGATCCTATCTATGCTAACCGGCGGGTCTGGGGCGTTGATCTGGGACAAAACGACGCCGATGCGACTCAGAACACAGACGAAGACATCGTCAGCCGGCTGTCTCGGATGGGCAAAGACGAAGTGGCGGAAGCTGTTGCTTACTACGATGCCATGGTGGACAGATATGAAGAGAAGAGGGCCGAGAAGCTTACGGGCGAGCTCTGCGACATTTGCGAGACACCTCTATACTCAGACCCTGGTGAACATGAGCTATCGCTATGGCTCCACAGTCTTCGGTATGAAGATGCAGGCGGTGCCTGGTCATATGTTAGCCCGTTGCCTCGATGGGCTCTTCCACCGAAGGGAATGAGTGGCCCAACATCGGTGGGTGGGATGGAGGAGTTGGTGGAGGCGGTTAAGGACGAGAACCCTGAGATATCATGATAACTGCCATTCCGTACAACAAGCACCAAGCAACTTTAGATGCCTACACTACATACATATTACGACCATCGCGTGGACAACGCCACCAAATAGAACGAGATGGCAACTCGTAGATACACATGAGCAGCTGAACCATAGCACATCTCGGATGAGAGCTGCAAAGCCGCCGAACCTATCAGACAGGACCAGCTTGATCCCCCGGCGCCAGGGTGAGGATCCGATATCCGGGTCATCATCCTGTGGATCTACTATTCGTGACCAGGGTCGGCCTATCCCCGTCAGTAATACAGGCAGACTATGACTATTTAGCTTATGCATGAGGTTCCTAGCCCGTATACACTGGAGGCTGAGCCAAGATAGGGCTTGGCTTCGAAACCCTTGAACATTCTTCGAAATTGCAAGCCTGGGGTTCGTGTTGTTGTGATGCGAGGCATGCGACCGATATCTGTCTAAGCTATGGCGCTCGGGATACCCTTCACCCGGGAGCGCGGATTTACAACAGATAAGCCCAAAGTTTAAGACAAAGTCAGTGGTTCACGGTGGCTAACAACGGGCACTTACTAGAGGCTTCGTCGACGCCAGAGGCGCAACATGAAGCAACCAGTACGGAAGCCACTGACAGACTAAACTCATCCCTCACCCTCGGAACCCAGTTCTCTGGAGCGGAACCGGGAGGAATCAAGGCCAATGGTTCTCGGAGGGTTGGGTCAATCTAAGCGAAGTACCGTAAGTCTCTAATGGGGCAGCAATCAGCCAATATGGGGCACTCAAAGCTCAAGCTCTCAACGCATTCCACAGTGAACACAAGATCAGAACATACGAAAAGATGGACCCCAGAGTAGAACGCAATGCCCTTGCCAAGAGCTATACCAACCGACAAAGTCCGCCTTGGCTACGAGACTTGCGAGGTAGCTCGAGATAGGGTCGATGATGAGACAGGTCTAGGATTGCTCGACGCTCCGGGGCCGGAGCCAGAGAGTTCACTGGGTTGATAGATGCCAATAGATGGAGAAACAGAACTCCGACTAGGCATCATGGGCCTGGTGTTCGATGTATGGGGTAGAGAGTCATGGGGCCATTGTAGATCCTCACGGGGATCTTGGGTCGAGCATTGATTACGTGCAATTATACGGATTGAAGCCTCACCAGACAACTGCTGGCGACCTTATCCATCACGAGAATGTCAAGACGAGACAAGGCCCCTGACAGGGTTTTGATGAAGTTCATTCAATTGCTTTACCCACTGGACTGGCTAAAACAAAAAAGCCCCAGTCAAGGCGAATCACATCATTATGTATGTACTCCGTATCAACATCGTGAGCTCCACGAAGCATGGGTTTAATCATCGCTGGCAAGGGGTCCATCCTCTAGCACAGCAACGGAATTGTGGCTGGCGAGATATGGATCATAGCACGCAAGCAAGCCATGATCGAAGCCTGCGCTGCGGGTGACCATTTGCGGCTGTTTCTCTTTTTCCCCTATTTTCTGGGGTAAAGAAGACAAGTTCATGATTGGGAATTGCTTGCTTTTTTCTGCGTTGCCCATTCTTTCTCCACGGGTTCGGTTCTCTTCACCCTTGCCAGCAGCAGTTACCAAGTCCCCGGGTCTTGGTTCTTGGTCACAGTTGGGAATGGCAATCAATTCGCGCTGCTAAAGTCTAGTCAAACTGTCAAAGGTCCATCCCGCTCGAGCTGCGCGGGATGAACCTCACGATCAGAGTTTTTCTCATCGTGAATGCAACGCTGAGCAAGATCGAAAAGCAAGATTTGTGTTTGGCGGCGGGAGAAAGATGGCTCTAGTCGGGGGGAGGCCCTGCTGGGATGGGAGCAAGGAACACTTTCAGTGAGACGTCATTGATGCAACGCGGCGTTGGAGAGAGATGCTGAAAACGGTTGAGAATTATGGATTGCTGACGATTTCAGCTGACGGACGCGGATCAAGATCAGCTTAGCTTTTCAACTGCCGAGACACGTTGGTTCATCATTGTCAAGAATAGAATACAATGGAACTTGGTGAAGCAATTGTGAGTTTGAAGGATCTTCGACACACGCAATACAGTACAAACGAACAAACAAAATTCTCAGCAAGCTTACGTTCGAGGTGCCTCACACCACAGAATGACGCCATGCAGGATGTTGTCTGTCGGTCTGTCTCTGTCTAGGTCCCGTGGGACCATGCTCGGGGAACCTGGCAGAGAAGATTCTTTTTTTCCTTCCAAAGTCTCAAAGAGGGAGCTCACCTGCAAGCCCCAAAAACTCAAAGCAGCACAGATGAGCTGTCAGCAGCGGCTCACCACGGCCTTGAGTTTTAGGGGGCCACATCCTTAAAACCGCCCTGTGCTGCTATTCCTCCTGGGGGAGTTACTCCTGGCTGCGCCGCAGCATAGACTTTCAGCCCCGAATTGCGACCGTGGTTTATTAGGTTGTCTTGCTTTTTCCTACGGCGACTGCGAAATGTGCAGCCCATTTGTCCGAGTCTATCAGTGCTTTACGAATTGCCACGCTGAAAAGTGACAGACTGGATGCATGCAGTGGAAATGGCTTTTGCACTTTGAGGGCCGACAACTCCTCAAAGGGGGCATCTTGTCCGCTGGGCACTGAATGCTGGCTCCGTGCGCTGCAGCCAAGTATTTCCTGTACTGTACTGTACCTAGGGGAGGAAAGAAAAACTCAGGACCTTAATCCTAAATGACAAAAGACTTAGGTAACTTGGTACAAGTTTAGGATGCCTTTAGGATACCTTTTGGTGAGTTTATTTTGACACCTCATATCAAGGTCCGGTGTTTTCTTGCCCCCCCGAGGTGTACTTACACGGGGGATCTGCATGGAGTGGATTTCTGTATTGTTTCTTATTAAATGTTGGCGGGGAATCCGAAGACTGCAGAAGAGATATCATTGATACATACAGAGGACCGCAGCGTGGCTCCATCTCCATTGCCATGTGCCCCGGCACCTGATCTGGGGATTGGTTCTTGGCTTTGGACTTGACCGCAAGATGGTCGACGGTACTGTACTCACAGATCAAACGAGCGGCCGTGATGATGCCATATGGGGGCGGGTTTGGATCGACGCCGTCGAGTACAGTAGAGTCAGCATGAAAGGGAGGATCAGTGATACGACTCGGGATAGGCATGGCTTGTGCCGTTTCCACTCCATGGTAACGCTCCACGTTTTGTCCAACTTCTGATACTGTACTAAAGTCAAGGACGAGCGTCTGGTGGTGGTTTACTTTGGCTTACAGTACATACACTCACTTACTGATGGCCCCCCTGGTTCCACGTGCTCCACCACTACACTACGATCCTTGGATCAACTGTGGAAGAGTCCCAGAGTCCTCAGAGAGGTTAGAACCGCGAAGCGCGCTAACTAGGGAGCCGTCACTGGCGACCGACTGGGTCCCCTCACACCCTGACCCCGACTCCGACTACGCCGGATATCGGCTAGGTTAGAGGGATGAAAGTCTAATCCTGCAGGGGTCATAGGCTACGACAGTGCATAGTGGGTAGTGGGGGGAGCGCGGTAGGGATGGGCTCTCGATTCAGTGCTGCAGAGTGTCATCTTGGTGCCCTAGGACTTGTCCATTTTCCACGCTTCTGGGGGAGCTTCCCTGGGGGCCACGCTACGCTACAGTGCACTACACCATGAGTTACAGTACCTTGCTCTATGTTCAGGTTCAAGTTCAAGTTCAAGGTCATGGCCAACAGTAGACTTCCTTCAGGGCCCAATCATCTAAAGGCACCCCGGGCATATAGGCTCTGAGACAACAAAGTACACCCTTGTTTTATCAGGATGGGAGATACTGAGGCACACACAATAGACATGGCCATCGATATTCCATGATTAATCGAGGATGGCATAGCAGAGCACAGCACAAGCCTCGAAGCAAGGCATGGTTGGGAATAATACGCCCGCCGAATGACTCCACCGCTAATTGCAGTGACATTTTACTGCATAGCAAGACAGATGATTGGATTCATCAATTCTCTGGCTCATCTGTAACATGGGCACGGCTATCGGAGATGGCACTGTAGAATCGAAAGCCGCGGCGAACTGGAATACTTCTGACGTGCTAAATGAAATGCAAAAAGACATTCGTTGAAATGTTTCGATGCATCGGAGCCAAAAAGCTAACCGTCCAAGGGAACGGCGACTCTAACTGCTAACGTGCTGTCAAGCGAGGAGCATATTACGATACTTGCCTTACAGTCAGCCGCAGAGCCCACATCGATAACGATTGATGGTTCAGGACACACGGGGGCTCTTCCTGTTGCAGACAATAGAGGCGAGACACGAATTAACTTGACGGTAGAAGCGGCCCTCGAGCGAAGCTCTGTTCAGCTCAGCGCAAGAGAAAGGGTCCGAGAGCTTGCAGTGGAGCGTCAATCAATCTTGGAACCACGACCACGAGGAAGATGGGGACCCGCCGAGTTTACTTGCTGTAGTGTGTTGTGGTGTTATTATCCATTCATTGAAGAATTCATTGCAGACAATTGAGAGGGGGGGGGGGAGGAGGAGGAGGAATTGGTTATTGCGTCAAATCAAGGTCAGGCCAGGTCAGGCCAGACGAGAGCATGCCATTGAATGTCTACGGTCATGTCTAGTTTGTGGATATGAAAAACTGGACATTCTTGCAAATGTTATTCTGAAAGTCTGCCTATCGACGACGTACGTTGAAGAAGAATTGGGTTGGCCGAAGGAGATAATCTGGAAGCAAGAAACGCTCGAGAAGCAGGGATAAGCCACCCCAGACTGAAGAAGAAGACGAAGAAGAGTCTCTCGAAGGAGGATGTACACATTCGATGTCCTCAGTACAAGCTCAAAGTACACTCTCATTCAAACTCAGCCAACCTAACAAGAAGCGTGGCGCACCGGACCGCGCACCAGGGCCAGTACCAGCACCAGCAACAGGGCCAGCTCCATCTATCTCCAGCACGTACCAGAAGGACCCACGCCCTACCAGCCTTGTTGTTGCTGTTCCATTTCCATTGCTCACCCATGGCCCATGAGCCGGACAGACCAACGCTAACACTAATACCAACAGGGAGCATGATGGCCTCCCACTCTAGGGGGTGTGCCTAGCCATGCCTGAAGGGTCCGTCACGACAGTACATACTGTACGTACACGTTGGAGCACGCCTCCTCGTTGGAGATACACCTTCTCCAAGGCGAAAAAAAGAAAAAAGAGGATGGGTTCGTTCGTTGTTCTACGCCAGAGACGCTATAGGGAAAATGGTTATAAACAACACCCCTTGTCCCCTCGTCGATCAAATCTAGTACAGTAGTACGGTAGCTGGGCCGATCTCCATGCGAACACTTACTTGCACGACCTTGACCTTGACCTTGACTTAAGACTACAAGGACTCCACAGACTTCAACAGCATCTACCTACTACGTTGCTACCATCTCATCTCATCCTAACTTTCACCACACCTCACCTCACTTACATATATACACCATCCAGGGACCCTTCCTTTCCTCACCTTGACTTGGAGTTTCATCCTTCATACTTGTATAACATATCCGTCACATACAAGTCTTGGCCTTCTATATATATATACCCACTTCACATCCACATACACACTCTATCTTGTCAACTCACCTCGACTTGACTTGACTTGACTTGACTTGACTTGACATGATCGCATCGCCCACCTCGTCGCCGTCGTCTATGCCTTACTCTTCTTCACCCGACTCTCACACAATCACCTACTCCTCACAAAACAACAACACCGACAACATGGTCCGCTCATCATCAGCCGAGCCCGCAAAGAGCTCTAAGCGAAAGGGTAAGTAAACAAAACCTAACCAGCCACGCGGGACAGAAAAAGCAAAAAACACACATACACTTGCATACATCGCGCCCAGGCAGCAAAGTCAATTCGATTCATACACATACCCATGATCAACACTGACTGACACGCAACAACAACAGGCACACGAAGCGTCTCTACCCTCACACCTTCACAACTCGCGCGCAAGAGAGCCAACGACCGAGAGGCTCAAAGAGCTATCCGGGCGCGAACCAAGGAGCACATTGACCGCCTGGAGCGCGAGCTGGAGGACCTCAAGAGCAAGCAAAGCCGTGATCAGACAGTCCAGGAGCTTCTGCGACGGAACCAGGCGCTTGAGGAGGAGCTTATGCGACTCAAGGAGAACATGGGCGTCTCAATGACCTCGTCGCCTTACTCTGCACCTGGTACGGCTCTCTTAGTCTCCATCCCGACGTCCTCGTCACCGCACAACAGCATTCTGACAAGCCCCTCAGTATACGATGATAACCTCAGCACAGGCAGCGGTGCCATCCCTAGTCCTCGCGGCTCCCCCTTCCCTTCTGGCGACTACAGCCCCATCCCCGACTATGGACAGCAATATGTCCCCCTCCCTAACAACTGCGAGTCATGGGCCAGCACAGTCCCCTGCCCCGTCCCCTCCAACGTCTCAAGCCCTTCCTCATCTGCCGACGACTACAGCGCCGGCTACATTCCCACAAGCGTGCCTACCTCGCTGATGCCCTCAAACAACACAAGCTCCTCCAGCATCAGCGTGGGCCACGCCCACAAGGACGTGATCAAGATGGAGTATGAAGATGTTGACTCTCACGGTACGGTCATCCAGCAGCACCCAGCAATCTCGCTCTCGCTCTCAAGACAGGAGACTAATCACACTCAGTGTCTAGACGCCGGATTCCGCCTCAGCAACCCCTCGCTTCATCCCGTGTCCCATACTTACATGGCTCAACAGCAGCAGCCCGCCTGGAACATGTATCCCGTCTACTACCCCCAGGCTCAGTCCTCGGTCCATTGAAGGGCCAAACTCAACCGGGCTCATCCTGGCCGGGATCTGGGCCCGTTCTCACCACTCCGCCGGCCTGTCGCTTCGATGAGCTCTTAGTCGGCTTCCTCCAGGACTGCCGTCGCATGATCACCACAGAGTCTCTAGCTCACACTCTGGGTCCTCCCCAGATAGACGTGCGCTCACTGTTTCGCGGCCATGATAGCCACGGTCAAATCGCCTGCTCACCTCATCCCATCACCGACCTCATCCGCAGCCTCATCGACACAGCAGGAATGGCACGACTGACTGAGCGCATCGCCATCTTTGCGCCTCTGCAAACCATGATCTGTTGGCTTGCGCAGCCTACTCCAGAGAGACGCGCGCGACTATGCGAAGACTACGTGCCGCGAGAGCGCCAACTGACAACTGCGCACCCCCAATGGCTCGATCTACTCCTCTGGGGCAGTCTGCGCGAGGCCGCCATCGAGCGGCAGGATCTGTACGCTACAGACGAGTTTCAAAGGGTCTACTTCGACGCGCTGCGCCTTGTCAATTGGCCTTATCAGCCGCTAGACGGCCTAGTCACAGATCCGCAGACGGGCCACGTTGGGCTCACGGATACCCTCATGGCCCATGCTATGAACGGTTCCAACTGGCGTCTGGCTGAGACCTTTGCCCAAAGATACCCTGAGCTTTGCGGGCTAGTGGCTCTGGAGTAGAAAGTCTGTCTGATGGGGATCGACCACACCTTTGACTCTGACATGACTCTTCACCTTACCTCACCTTTACTTCACATGATTCGACTCCTGTATCATGGATCACATGCTGCAAGGCATGTCATGACATCGTGGTTAACACGGCACCACAGAACATCGATCCAAAAACTAACCGTGTGCTGGGATCATCCGCCGCGGCAAGTCTCTATCCTACTCCAACCCACGTCGATCATGCCCCATCCCACACATCCACATACATACCTACGTACCTATCTATCTATCTATCTATCAACTACCACTACTACATCGTCATCATCTTCTCACAAAAAAAACAAAAAAAAACACAAAAACACAAATCATGACGTAACATGACAGGAAACTTTTAGAGGAGGAATCAAAGTACCCCACAAGATCTCTAACGGCCATACTATACTTCTTACTGTACTGTTAACATTACATTATGGGAAAACCAATACTGTTATTAGACATGTATACTTGAACATGAAAGGAACGGGACGGAGGCGTGCAATTTGGAACACACACACAAACAAACAAGCATTGGGACAAATCTAAGGAAATTCACCATTGGCGATATGGGGTTCTTGTTTTTAGAGGTGTTTTTGACATACATTACTGGGTGTAAGGATGGTATTACCCATGTTCTTACTAGGCACATTTTTTACGAATCAAGATACACACGTTGGAATCTTCACACTCTGGCCTCAATTCTTCGTCTCATGGATCGTGATTGCAACTTCTACTATGAGTATCTATCTTTCGACTAGCAGGCGGGTCCGATGATGAAAATCCTCTGGTTTCATTTTACCCCATACACTTACATGGTCGATGACATTCCAAAACCCTGCATGGACCCTTGTCCAATTTCGACCTGTAATTGATGGCATATTCCCATATCTACAAGGGTGTGTACGTGTTGCTGTACTGCTGTGTGTATGTATGTATGTAGTGTTGTTGTTGTTATAATTATCCTTCTCTTTTCTTTACTGGTAAGCGTCTTCTACATACGTAGGAGAGTTACATCGACAATGCATCTCCACCGCCATGTTCCCGTCACGCACATGGCTCAGAGTCCCAAAGAGGGAGGGGGAGTGTCGAGCATTGGGCAGTCTGAGGGTCCCCCACTTACAGTGTACGGTTAAACCCATAGACCAGGGAGAGGATATCTGATATGTATCGGTCCAACGCTTATACTGCTAATGGTCTAGTTGATTATCCCCCTATGCACCAAGGGGTAAAAGCTGTCCCAGCGACGACAGGCATGCATGCTGCTGTGCTGTGCTGTTAGTGTTAGTTGGTATCGCACCTTGGAGTTTTGGAGCAGATATACCTGATACCGATGCTAAGTAAGAAATACTCACCGCGTAGCTTACTTTTGTTCTGCCCAAAGACGTCAGTTGTCCACCTTGGCTACAACTACATCATTTCTCAGTTGCGTTGCATCGCACATGTCACTGCTCGAGCCCCTTGCGGTTGCGGGAGATCTCGAGCAGGGAAAATTCGCAACATTGAGCCGCAACAATACCAAGTACAGTGACTTGAGATACCTGCTTTTGCCTCCCACGTTCTCAAGTACAAAGTTTTTCCAATCTTGTAAAAGATCGTGGCGAAACTGCATGGACACGCACGTGGCCCATCCATACCATATGGCCCTTGTCTCGCAATGACAGCTTGACACAATCTCATACGGCCACATGCGTATTCTAAACATGGACTTTTGCGATCCCGAGGGAGCAAGCACAAAGTTTAGTCTCAGGTTAGGCTTGAACGAACTGAGCTCCGAGGTACAGTAAATGTTCCATCCTGTGCTGTGCTGTGCCGTTTCTCTTGTCTCTCTTCTCAAGAGCCGGGGTGGCGTCACGGTCTTGTATGCCCAAAACGGTGATTTCCATATTGTCTATCGGTGCGACACCAATACCGACACACTCAATGAGAGAGAGACACTGAGACAGGCAGACACAGGCTGAGAAGCAGTCGCACACGCACACACACACACACACACACAGCGAGAGAGAGAGAGACAGAGTCTCAGCCCTCCGGAGCTACGTAATGGACATTCTTCGCGGAAGTTCCGTCTAGATTCCGTGAAAAAGGGCGTAAAACAGCCTCAAACGTTATGTTTCGCGGAAACTCTATTTGTTTCCGTGATCCCGTCGAGTCGGACGTTTTTCTCGATTAGCAACACGCAAAAGCAAAGAAGCGATTGTACAACATTGCGGCTCGAGCCTCAATTCGTCAACGGCGGTTTGTACCACCGACCATCGGAAGAAGACGACGGCTGGTCGGAGAGGGCGAAACAGAGGCCTCGTCACGCAATTGCTTGGCTCAAAGTAAAGAAAAGTACCTTGCAGTAATAGACAAACCCAAAAGATACCGACCCGACCGGGTTGTTCCCGCGGGAAACAATGGGCATGGGTGGCACTAAAAAGTTCCCTTCGCATCTGCATCTGACTTTCACCTGAAGCCTCCAGGTAAGGCCTGCACTGACGTTGGGAGTGAAACTGGTGACACTGAAGATCGGCCACTAAACATCCCCCAAC